AGGTTTTCAATGGTGGTCTAACCTCAATCGGTTCATGATCTCAATCAAAAACTTAACAATCTCCACAACCTCCAAACTGATAATTACCATGTGTTCACTAGTGACTAGCTTCGTGCGAAAATTCTCGAAGTTCTAGTGAGAAGCCATGACCAGTGGAGCTAATGCGTGTCGAGTAGAGACAGGCATCTATCTCAGTACAATGGGAGATGGTCGCGCGATTTCGTGGATTGGTTGAGGTTAAACAATAACACTATTGGATACCGGCTCAGTGATCCAGTAGGTCAAGCGTTCACGCGCGAGACTGAAGGCCCTGGGTTCGAATCCCGCGGGCGGGATCGTGGGTGCGCATTGCTAAGGAATCCCATAATGGGACGAAACGGCCGTTCGGTGCTCCCGGATTTTCAATGATGGTATAACATCAATCGATTGATGATCTCAATCAAATACTATTACTACTTTAACTCCTTTACCTTACCTACTTTGAATTTAATCTCTAACTTTGCTGACATGGTATAGGAACCTGGGGTAGTACTTATTTCGTATTATTTATTTCTTATCTTATATATGACTGATTGATTGATCGACAATTATCTTTTCTAACTGTAACTGATGGATTTCTACGGAATAACTAAGTTTTCAAATTTCTTATTTCATGATTTTGTTTTATTGAGGATTAAAAGCTTGTTTTATAAAATTGTGTATATTGATTAATATCAATCATTATAAGAATATAGTATTTCTCCGAATTCTACATCATTTGAACAGGATAAACACACACACGCAATGACCCTTAAAAATCTAATAGTTACTGAACAATCTTTCAACTTTAGTGTCTATTAGTGAAATACATTGTGAATTCAACTGAAATTATCGATATATGTGGCTTTGATTTCTAAATCAACTGGACTAGATCCTATCGTAGTTATTTTACTGATCAAAATATAGAACGACTGAATTTCTGAGGTTGTCAACAGTCGAAAACTTACCTTGTAACAAATTGCATGTATTGATCTTTAGTTGGATATGTAATTATCACCATCGTATTTTATCTACAATCACCGAGAGATGTTCACCACCACCATAAACAACAAGTTTGATATTGCACGTTTTATTTTCGCGCAGTTTGTATGACTCATATATTTATATATATAGAAGGGATGTGTACTTTTATCATGTTTTTATTTGTTCGTTTTGCATGTTCGTTCTCATTTTCTCACATATTGTTGGTTATGTTAGTACTGACTGATTTGCAATATGCTTTACACTTATTATTATTATTATTATTATTATTATTATTATTATTATTATTATTATTATTTGATAAGAATGATACGTTCACAGATGACAATTGTTATATTTGTTGCCATCATTTTCGTCGTCATCGTTGCTGCTGCTGTTGGTAATGGTCATAGTTATCGTGGTGCCACTTAAGCCTATCTTATCCATATTTGATATGCCTGTTGGTATGAATGAAAGTAGAATTAGAATTGAAAAGATTACTAGTAGAAAGAAACAAGCTGTTGATTTGTAGGTTTCTTTTACTTCAAGTGATATATGTGAATGTCAGTTCATGTACACTCTAATTCCTTCTTTTACTTAATGTTCATTATAATTTTTGGAGATGTTTAAATCGTGCCCCTCCTCAAAAAATGCTAATTTGTTACTCGTCATTCTGTCTTTTTCATCTTGGTAAGTTTTTAATTTTGTTCACGCAAATCCTTTATACCTGGTATTTTTTATTTTAATCGCAAACACAGACTCGTTTTTCTCTTGTCTGTTCTTCTCTGTCTTAGTATGATAATTTTTTGTCCTGCTCTTAGATTCATTGTAAATTTATTTATTTGCGATTATTCCTTACTTAAGTTTCAACAAGTCTATAGAAGCCAGTGTAGCGCACTGAATTGCGAAGATCTGAAAGAGGTGGAAACCACGTAACTGGGCAGCACCATCGACAAATACGGAAGATCTGATACAGTTGTCAAGGCATGAATTAACAAAGCAAGGTCATGATTCATACAGCTAAAAAGTACCTGAAAATTGAAGAACTGTCATTCGACACCAATGTCGGAATGTTCAACATAAATGTTAAAAACAGTTCTATTGTACGGAGTTACAACTAAGAGGACTGCCATAATCCTCACTAAAAAGCTACAGATATTTATAAACATTTCTGTATACAAGATACTTCAGATCCTTCGAGCGGAGATCATCAGTAATAATCGACTGTGATGGAGAACAAACTAAATGCCAATTGAGGTGAAAATTAGGAAAAGCCTACGAAGGTGGACAACCATTAAACTGTATTGCGAGGCAAGCCCTAATTCGGATTGATCAAGGTAAAAGGAAAAGATGCGGACTAAATAACACGTGGCGCAGGGAGCTGAGGTCAGATATAATGGCGATGAGTGGTAATTGGTAGAAGCTGGAGAGAAGAACCTAGTTGGTTGGAGGTCTCCGGTCGATGGCCTGTGCCCCATGAGGGGTAACAGGCTTAAGTAAGCAAATAATTTTTTACGGAAAAGCTTAGCTTTTGAACTACCCGGAACTACGGTCAAAATGAAGGGGATTGGTGTATTGGCTTTATTGAATTTGGTGCTATTCATTTCTAAGCTCATGCACGAGCTATAGTAATGGTATCAAATTATAACACAAATAAGTTAATACCTACTCTCCTCTATTCACAAATATTATTTTGAACGGAAGATAACTTTAATCTCAACCCAACCTTTATAGTGTTGTATCGAAATTCTTTAAGGTGAATATTTACGTTTTTACAGGGTTTAACCATTCGATAATTCAAACACTCCATGTATATTCAAAAGCATTTTGTATTTACATTGAAACCTAACCTAGAAGTATCGATCTTAATTTTTGTTTCCATCTTCTAGTTTTTTTCGCGACAACTTCTTTTCAGGTTGTACAATTATATATCCAAATGAATAATCCCAAAAGTGGTTAGGTTTAAGATAAAAGATATCGTTTATAATTATAGCGTGTAAATTTAAGACGGTAAAATAAAATAAAATTTTTAATAATGGGATAACTAATATAAAGTGTTGACTTAATTACATTTATACGTTAAATGAAATCATGAGTTTATTGGTGAGAATAAATATGATTAACATGATATGAGAAAGATTATCATGTAATTACAAATTAGAAATTACTTAATATATAGAATAATGTGAATTAGATACGAATTAGTAGATAGAGTTGGATGCTGAAGAAATTTCTCAAAAATATTGACAGCTATTCATTCATATTATCTATGTTTTAATATGATAATAGTTTTCTAGCGACCTACCAATTTATCAATTGGTGCATAATCAGATAGGCCCTGGGTTCGAATCTCGCGGGGGACGGGATCGTGGATGCGCACTGCTGAGGAGTCCCATACTAAGACGAAACGGCTGTCCATTGCTTCCAGGTTTTCCATGGTGGTCTAGCTTCAACTGACTCATGATTCCAACTATTGAAGTATAATCAGATTGTTGAAAATGTTTCACACTAAATATTTATCATATTATTTTAATACATTTTTATCTTTAGTTACTTTTAAAAAAAGTAAAATAGGTTAATTAAGATATTAATAGTGATAATCATTGTTCAAAAATCTAATCACACTTACCTTGTTACTTTCTAATGGTTAATCATAATGTGTTCGATTCCAGTTGGAATGTGTCATATGTTGTAGGTGGTTAATTATAGTAGTTCAGAAGTTTTGGTAATCTGAAATCGTCGATTAGTTTGTATTCAGCAGTTTCTGGAATGGATGTTTCAACTGTTATTGTTTGAGAAATATCGATTTCTCTTTCTTATTAACTTTTTAGAAGTTTAATAAATTGATAGAGGTTTTAAACACATGCATTTACATGTTATTTGGACAATTAAATCTAGCTTACTAGAGTGGTCTTAATAATATTAACTAATCAAAAGATTAGCTACATTTTCTGTCACAATAATTCATAGACGAATAAGCTTAGTAAATAACTATTATTCGATGTTGTAAGCATTTCGCTTTCAATTTTCCAGTCTTTCCTTTACATATAAATTTACTTAAGACATATAAGTTGTATCTCTAGACATCACACTATTTTTTCCTCCAGTTATGTATGCGTATTAATTACTGACATCTGAGAAGGGATCATAGTGATATTGATCGATTCAATGTGTTATAATCTCTTTCTTCTTACGGTTATGACCCAGCTATTCCTATTGCTTAGTATTCTGGGACACCGATTCACTCGACAAGTCCCCAAATCAAAACACGGTTGAACAGGAAAAAGATTATATTCCAAATAGCAAGTCAGAAGCCAGTAGGAAGCACAATAGAGAAAACGTCAGTATATTTATAGTTTTTACATGAGAAGATTCTAGAGTATTCTCCAACTATCGACTAGTGCTGATTGGATAAGAATTAGCCAATCAGCGTGCACCAAAGCAATCATACATTGAGCATGCTTTAATCTAGTCTATGTCCCGCTAACACAATGATATTCATATTTATTGTTTTTACTGCATTACATTTGGTGTATATTATTCAACAGCTTTTACTTAGTTTGTTTACTGTGACTTTTTCGTAAGATGTACCAATGGTGGTGTTGTTTCTATATAATAGTTCAGATAGATGTTGCACTTGATCATACTGTATTCTCTAAGGTGGATAGTTAAATTGTGTAGTTATCGATTATTCTTAACAATGTTAACTAAGTAGTATCTTCCACATAGGTTTGATATAGTTTTTAATTCATTTTTATTTCAAACTATAAATGTTGCTTCAATTTCACGTACATGTAATGTGTTTATTTTTTAACGTTAAATGTTTTTGACAGTATTTACTTTCTATTCAACTTAACAATTGATATTTAGTAATGTCATTAACCTGCAATTATTCATACTGATCATTAGTATTATATATATATATATATATATATATATATATATATATATATATATATATAACTCGGTTCATGTGTTATGTTGTTATTTTTGTCTTTTAGAAAAGTTCCCTAGTTGGTTCCTCCTCTCCTTTTGATCCTAAAAAAGTTAAAGTTACTGTTCAGCGTCCTGGTGACCAAAAAGCCTATCAATGTGGACCACATCTTAGAAAAACCAAGAAAACAGACTCAGTAAGTTTATTTTAATTCTTTATTTAAAAAGTTTGTTTGCCCCTTTTTTGTTTAGTTAATTCGTGTTTTTGTTGATTATTCAAGCCCTGGTGCGGCCAAGTATGGGAAGGGTCAATCCTCCCTCTCGAAATGCTCTCACACGACCACGTATATACAGCCATTGCCAGGGAAGTACTGCTCACTGTCTTCTGTCGGAGAGAGCGTTGTTTACGAAATTGAGAGGACGAAAAGCGAATTTCCGGCATTTCGGCTGGGTTAAAGGACACGGAGGATCCACCTAGTGGATTCGAAAAACCGTGATTCTGAACCAATGGTGCACATGGGCTTCAAAATTGTGAGAGAATAAATGACTTATGAATCTATTTTTAGTCACTGACTACTTTGAACTGGATCTCCTAACGTTGCTCCACTGCCTTATGGATCAGACTTTTAAGTTGAAGACTTGAGGAGTGGCTCCGTAAGGAAACTACCCGTTTTGTTTTATTTCTCGGACATTATCACAGCCTTTATACAAATCCCTGATAACTACTACTGGCCTTATTGTTGTGTGGCGCATATGTATTTGGTGCCTTGTTGTACCAATGTTTTTGTATGTAAATAAATAAATAAAGTCTCTTTTTATAGCTTTTTATAGCAACTAAGATCTCGGTTGTTACTCTTTGGTCCCTTTCTTTATTAATATTCGTTGTCATTCTTCCAGGCAGTATAGATGAATAGGATAATAATTAGGCTGGAAGATACAACTGCTCTCATAGTAACAATCTGGTTACGCGGGCCCCAAACACAGTTCTTGAATCGGTTCCACTTTAGGATTATAGATAGTACCCTCATATCTTATCCAACAAGGAATCTTGTTAATTATTAAGTTGAATGGTATAATTTTTAATGAAAAAACGTAATCGCATTTTTAGTTTTTCTTCAGTTCTCGAATAAATTCGCACTTCGGTTCAAGGGATCCCTACCATACAGTCTTATGGTCTCGTGCCACGTTTAATCGATCCCGTTCACCTTACTTGTTTATTTTTCATTGTTCTATTATTTTGATGATATATATAGTATTTCTCAATGTAGTCAATGTAAAGAAGGGTACAACGAATAGCAATATTTCTCGACTAAATATAGCTTCAAATAATCATTCAGGCATTATTCATACTACAAGTTACAGATGGTAATAAGTTAACAAATTGACGTTTTAATAAATGGGTGTTAATAATACGTTATACGAAGATTTGCTACATAGAATATCCTTCGACTGTTCTGAGTACATCTCCGGAGCTATGTCTCACAAACTCACGTTCCATATCTAACATTCTCTTCCGATCTATATATTGGGTCTGTGGAAACGCCTTCTCTTTCATAATGAATCTTAATGAATATGAAGATCGAGCTAAGAATGATTGGCTCCTTCTTTAAGAAACTGTATAAATAAATTTTACGACAACCTAGACACAGAGTATAAGTGAGGTTACGTTTTCTCGCTACTTAGACTCAATTGTGAGTCAGTCAGCTACAACGTAGGACCAGGCACATATGTGCATCGGTCCAGGTTGCCATACCGCATCAGCACAACAAGATGAACACCGAATTCATAGCAGTGGTTAGGTCAAAGGTAGTAATATATAAGAGAAAGATTGCATATAGAGATATAGTACAAGAAGAAAGAATTGGTTCGTAGAAAGAAAGATATGAAGCGATTTTAATCTCTTAGTTTAAGGGAAGACAGGGAGTGTATACACCGACGCCATTGTGATCGATTCTGAGCCATGTCACCAAGAGTCTCCAACAATTGGTTACGACAATCACGCGGACCCCAACCAAGAAGTCTGCATCTACCAACATGGCTCAGACTAGAAGTTAGTGACTTCAAGCACTGATGCCACGTTTTGGTTTGGCCGCCCCTAACTTTCTTCCAACCATCTCCAATACCGGATAGCATTGCACGTCGTGGTAATCGGTGTTCAGGCATACTTATCACGTGGCCCAACCATCTCAGTCGATGAAGATTCATAACCTCATCAACAGATTTACCAACATTCCCTAATACCCTGCGTTTAACCTCACTATTACTTACCCGGTGATCCCGGCAGATGCCAGCAATATTTCTAAGGCATCTGTGGTCAAATATTAATAGCTTACGAGTGTCTTCTATTCTTAATGGCCACGGTTCGTAGCCGTAAAGTAAAACAGAACAAAATCCCGCACAGTATACACGTCCCTTAATTGATAGACGGATATCTCGCCTTCGCCAAAGGTAACGTGAGTAGACAAAAGCCAAACGAGCTTTTCGAATCCGTGTTGAGATTTCGTCAGACACCAACCCATTAGGGCTGATCAGAATTCCAAGTAAAGTTGTCAACGCGTTCCACTACTTCACTCCCTATCCTTAGTTCAGGTGTTGACGCAGACCAGTCCTGAAGCAACAACTTGCACTTATGGGGAGAGAAGTGCATTCCAAACATTCTGGCATTTTTGCTTAATGCTACCAAAAGACTCTGCATTTTATCAGCGTCTTCACTAAACAGGACTATATCATCTGCGTATTCCAAGTCAATAAGTGGACCTCCTGGTAGATCAATGCCTGAAAATCCAGTCGACGAGAAAGTTATTTCCATCAGTAGATCCATGATGAAGTTAAACAAAAATGGGGAAAGTGGACAGCCTTGACGGACACCACTTGAGGTTGCAAAAGTAGATGACAGTTCGCCATAAGCTCTGACTCGACTAGTAGTGTTCGAGTAAAGAGCCTTTACAAGGTTTATGTACTTCTGGGGTACGCCTTTCAATGACAGACACTGCCACAGAATCTCGCGGTCTACCGAGTCAAATGCTGCTTTTAAGTCAAGAAAGACCACCATTGTCGGACGCTGATAAGTATGCCTGTGTTCTAGAATCTGACGAATGGTGAATATGTGGTCGATGCAGCCACGACCAGGTCTAAAGCCAGCTTGGTTCTCTCGTGTTTGCAGTTCACGAGTCTTAGTTAGGCGTCTGATAATTATCGAGGCTAGTGTTTTAGATATTATATTAGTTAAACTAATCCCTCTGTGGTTGTCACAGGATGATTTTGACCCTTTCTTATATATTGGGACGATAAGTGATTGTGACCAGTTAGATGGAATAACGTCTAACTCCCAGATTTTAGCTAAAATATTAGTCAACCTAATCGCTAAAATTGGACCACCATCCTTAAAGACCTCTGGAGCCAATCCGTCTGGACCAGCTGCCCTTCCTCGTTTCAGATTGACTATAGCCTTTTGAACTTCAGCAAGAGTTGGGGGACCCACGTCAATGTTCCATTCACACTGTCTGGGAATGGAGGGTAGTTTTAGAGTAGCTGAAGGCCAGCTGAACTGTTCTCTGAAATGTTCCGCCCATCGTTCTAAACGTCTGGACTGGGAGCAGATGAGAGTATCGTCTTTTTCCGATATAATCTCACTTACACTTGACTTATTAATTCCAGTTTCTTTTATTAGTCTGTAAAGCTGTCTTGTGTTCCCTATAGTCGCCGCCTTTTCCATCTCTTTTGCTTTCATTGCCCACCACTGCTCACGGTCGTTTCTTAGACTTTTTCTTAACCTAGATCTGATTTGTTGTCACTCTTCATCATGTTCAGAACCTGATGGAACGAGTTTGCGAGAATCCGTCAGTGTGATAGACTTTGAAGAAATTCACTGGTTCTTTGAAACTCTGTGGTTTAAGTCGCTAATAGATGTCACTGCTGCTTCCACAGCTGCTTGTATATTTTTCCAAGCAACATCTGGGTCAGCCTCGTCTTCAGAACTACCTAATTGTGACCTCAGTTGTTCCTGGAACCTATTTTTGGTTTCCTCGCTACTCAATTCAGTTCTAATGGGTCTTTTAAGTGTGGCTTTTATGCGTCCAGTGAGGCGCAAGCAGATGCGTACCCATATTAGGGAGTGGTCGGAGTCCAAACAGAAACTCCAGAATGAGCGACAATCTTCTATCGACCCTCTCCAACGATGACTGATGGCAATATGGTCTATTTGAGTCCATCGTTGGTTTGGTGTAGGGGGTCGCCATGTTAGACGATGTCTCTCCTTATGCTTAAAATTTGTGTTTGCTAAAAATAAACGATTGTCTGAGCATAGTTGCAGCAGACGATCACCATTATCTGTTCGCTGTGCCGGAATGCTAAAATATCCACCTAAATGCCTTTCTGTTTGGTTTAAGCTACCTATCTGAGCATTAAAGTCACCCCCTACGAGTACTATGTCTGAGCGTCTAGCTTTCCGAAGAAGTTCGGACAGCTTTCTGTAAAATTCATCTTTCACATCATCTGAGCTGCAGTCAGTGGGAGCGTAGGCAGAAACGACGAAAAGGCAACGACGTGTGTCCCTATCCTTCCGAGTTCTTACGGAGCCGTTTAGCCGAACAGCACATAGACGACTGTTGACGGGGATCCACTCTAGCAGTGCTTGTTCGGCCCTCATGCTTAGTGCTATGCCTACACCTGCCAGTCCACGAGAACTGGCCATCGGGTCACCAGATACACGTAAGGTGTATCTCGTTGGCTCTCCGTTTTGCCGAGGTGAGGTCAAGTGAATGATCTCACTGGAAACCTGTATGCGTGTTTCAGAGACACAGCATACATCAATTGTACGAGATTCTAGGGTTTTAGCCGAGGAAGCCTGCTAACCGATTTGGCATAGGGTGCGTACGTTGAAGGCTCCAATATGTAGTTTGCAGCGAGGTTTCAGTAGACCTGGGACAGAGTTTTGAGCACTAGAATCGTTGGCTATGGTGACACTTGAGGAGGAAGCCGAAAGAGGAAGTTTAGGGTTTGAAGTCGATGTAGGAGGGATAATAGGAATTGAAGAGGAAGATTGGTTATGAATACAGTGGTCTTGGGTGCTGTTAGAGGTATGAAGGCGGTTATCACTTCCCGGTTGCCCACACCGTGGAAGGGCTCTTCTGGAGGTACCTGAAAAGGAAATTGGATTAGAGGCGGTCTCAGTGACCTGAGAGCGTGACCGCAGTGCCCAAGGGACAACTGCTTGAGGCCGGTCGCGCACGGCCTTTTCGTGGGAGGTTTTTGACGTGTTAGCTCCGTTCTTCAAAGGGCCTTACCGCCGGAGACGGAAATCCGTGAGGTAAGGTGAGGTGTGCATTTTTAGGGTCGACCTTTTCTAACCTCACTCCTCCTTGTGGGAAGGCAGCATCGCTGTTATGCTGGTTGTCTGAAGGAAACACCTTACTGCTGTCACACCTCTGTACAGTCAGCAGTACGACTTCGCGTTCGGACCTTTGGTTTGTTGCTTTTAGTCTTACCGCTCTTCAACCGACCTGTCTGACATGGTAGGACCTTGAGGAACGGTTGTTCCAGCCAGTTTAGCTCGGTTGCTTCATCACGATAGGCAAGCCCGACCACCACGTCAAGGTAGCATCAACGGTCGTGACTCAACTGTGAAAGTTTGTTTGTTTGTTTGTTCTTGTTAGATTTTCTCTGTATGACATCAGTTTATGAAATCACTAGCTATTGGCCTGAACCTTGTTGGTAGATGTAGACTATCTGGTTGACGTCCGCGTTGCTTGGTGAAATGGCTCAAAACTGTACTCAATGGGGCTGGTGCATTTACTCTTTGTATTCCCTAAGTTTCTAAATCTTTCATAATTCTTCATTTTACTATTTATTATTTTCATCTGAAAACATATCTTCGAAGCTTAATCTTTTTCGCCACTAGTATTATTACTACCTCTACTACTGTGAGATTTAACTTGATTATTTCATCTTGCTGTGATAATGGGATGTGGGAACTTGTAACGATGCATACCAAGTTTTACTCTGCGTATTACCAACTGATCTTTTATGGGAATATGTTTAAAGACTGTCTCAGTCACCCAATTTGAAAAATATTCGATACAGTAATTGCTGTCGAATGAATTTATGGTTGATTTACGATTTTTATTCATACCATTCATTTTTACAGTAGTTTAGTGCCTACATCGGTTGATCGCTACTTTTTAGTATACTGGAGGTTAAAGTGAAACAACTAATCCCTTCTTAAAAATCTAGTTACAAACTTATTCCAGTAGTGTAGGAAATAAATTCTTGATAGCTTTACTTAGATTTTTAATGCGAGATGATTTTTTGTTCTTAAATTTTCCATTTTCCTGTGTTTTTATTTAGATAGAATTCAATTCATAAATAAGCTATAAAAATGAATATACGCCGGTTCAAACTATTTTAGTTTTAAGACGAGATGTTCAGCTCGTAGTATCACTGTGAGAATTAAAAAAACAACTATCGTAGAATTCTTTGGTCTAGGAGGAGTTATAAATAATAATAATGACGACTGACTACTACATAGAATTTGTGTTATAGATTAAGTTATACCCCTTGGATAAATATGTATTCTAATCCCTGACTATGTTAGTAGAGGAGAGTTCAGATTCATGATAAAATGGTTAAAAATAGGCCGTCTAATCTGCTTTCATGTATTTCAGTTCTTACATCCATTCACTTAGTGGAAACAATCTAGCTTTATTCATTAATACAGAAATTTTGCAGAAATTGAATTCGATATTAAATTCACAAGTTCACGAAAATTATTCTCTATGCTATCATAGAAACTGACTCTACTCCTTTGACGACTAAATTTATGTAGCCCATTGTACCATTATAGTATATTTTCACGCGTATTGCAATGTATATTTTGATAGATGGTTAGTTTAATGCATTTTCAGAGTTATTCAGGGTTCCTCTTGTTCATAACTATGAAAGGGGAACCAGATATGAGTTTAATAGTGTTGTTTAGGTGAGTCCTACTTTTTGTTGTGAAGTTTTACGTGATATTGGAAATTCTGTGAATTGCATTTATGGTCTTGAAAAACTGGTATCACTTAGAGCCTTAAATATTTAAATGTACTAACTTGGGGAAAAGCAGATTATCAATTTTATACTTCTACACAGTGATGGACATGAGTGAGTATGTATTCCACAATAGAATTTGATTTCCCCTTCAGTGTGTTATAATAAATGTTCCTGTTCATACTTTTGTGTGGATGACTATTTTTTATTAACCAAAATAAACCTGACAATACAATTACTGTGACCATTACTCTGACATTATAGGTTTGTTTTGACTGGTAAAAAGTGACAGACTTTAAAATCCATCACTTAGTGCTAAAAGCAAATCAAAATTAATATCATAAATATTTTTTCGACACTGTCTAATCTATCCCTGAAACTATTCTATTCTAATTTAATGACAATTTCTATTTACTTGCTTATTTTATTGAAAATTTCAATAGAATTTATGTATGAATAAACTTTCATAAATCTGCATTATAAACAACAAAACTTTCTCAGTTCGGTTTGTTTTTACATATCATCTTCACATAATATTATATGCACATGGTTTTTTGGCGGAACAAGTAAATTCTAAGGTTAGCGAAACCATAATTTTGAATTGATTTAATCTTCATTTAATATTCTCACCTTTTTATTATTAACGCTCTATTATTTTTCTTTGTCGTACTTTCCTGTCATGTGATCCATTTTGCCTTCTTTCGCCCTCCCAAACGCTTACAAACATTTACACACAAAATGATCATAATGAATGTGAACTGACGAAACAAAACCTCATTATAATTTTAAAAATGCTTGTTTATTTGTATATGTATAAAAGGATGCTATCAAAGAAATTAATCGTTGTCGTGAAGAGAATACTACACGTTTAGACTTAACTAAAGGTCAATTACACTTTCTACCACCATCAATACGTGATGTCGCACATCATCTAAAAGAACTTTATCTATATTGCAATAAATTAGTGAATTTGCCGAGTAAGCACTTGTTTTATGCGTGTGTGTGTTAAACAATTTGTGTTACATAATTTTCATGTTTTTCTTTATTTGTCTGTTTTATGAATAGTAATAATAATAACGGTGGAGTTTGCTTCATTGTATTAAATCTTCATGGCATTTTTATATTTGAAGATATATACGTTGTAATGTAATCGGTTGAATTGTATTATCACTGAGTTCTGGACGACTATGACATTAGCTGTTACTCCGTGGTCAGTTAATGTGGAAATTGCAGTCCTACAACAGGCATTAGCTTCTTCGACATTAAAAAGATCCTCTTTCTGACAGCTGTAAGTAGCATCAAATGTAAGTTTAGGGCTTTCTGCTGATTCCGCATTATTGCATAACATAAAAACGAATTGCAGCCGTATATCAGTCCTCTTAACTTTTTACTTCAAATATACAACATGATGAATAGCAGATTTTAGTATCAGCATTAAGAACTAAATAATAACATGACACTAAGTACAACTCAGTGACTAATTAGTGTCACCTAAAGTTTGGTTATCTCAGTATCTTCATAAAAATTCTTAACCAATCGATATGTCTATAACCAACAACCTATAACTTTATGAGCTGATGTAACGTTTTAGTCTAGCCGTTCATAGTCTTTTACTATCTACTAATATCCCTGGATACCATGAAAAGTCTGCTTCAAAAATGTATCGTCAAAGTTAAACCTCTGTGTTACTTAGTGATTACACCAGACCACTGATACTGCAATGACACATTTATGGTCTATTACTATCAATGATGCATATACGTTAATATTGGGTTGTAGAGTTTCATTGAAATGACATACTAATCTAAGTTATATAACTATTGAAAACCTGGAAGCACCGTTATTATTTATGCGTAAAACCGAAGATCTTGGGTTCGGTTCCTGGTTTCTAGGTCATGAATTTGCACTATTGAGGAGCCCCATACTAGGATGAAATGGCTGTCTAGTACTCCCCGGTTTTCAGTGTTTTCCTAACCTAGATGAGCTTGTGATTTTAATAATGCATATGTTTGTACCTTCTAAAATTAAAATACCTGTATATTTTGTATTATTTGTAATTTCGCACCTTTTTTCCACTAACCAGGTGTAGTGTTTTTCTACTGAAATATATGTACACGCAGATGTGTTCACGTTACATTTTGTACACATTTTTGGGGAATATAGGCGAATTGCTTTATTTATTGTTGATCTATCTGATGTGCTACATATGCTTGTGTTGTTTTCTTTCATTACTTTCCTTTCCACTTTTTTTGTTTTATATGTTTAGATGAAATTGGCACATTGTTTGCATTGGAAATTTTAATGGTACAAGAGAATTCATTAAGTGATCTACCAGAAACATTAGCACAATGTACACAATTACGTGTATTAGATATAAGACATAATAAATTATGTGAAATCCCTCAAGTTGTTTATAAACTACATAACTTAACACATTTATTTCTACGTTTCAATCGAATTCGTGTAGTGGATGAAGAAATTAAATATTTAACCGTAAGAAAAATCGAATTTTAAAAAAGGCTTTTTATTACTTGTTTTTTTTGTTCTTATTTGAACACATTTTTCATTTTCTCAAAAGTTTATTACAACATTTTAATGAAAGGTGGTATTTCATTTAAACATATATGAAAGGTCAGTAAGCAATCTTATTTGGATGTTAAAAGTAAATACTACATAAATATGATCTAGTGTATATAATTCGAACATAAGTCAGCATTAGAATCCATTGATCGCTGAATAGCAACCAATTTCATTTTTGTAAAATCCTTTGTTGCTGATCGATTTCTATCCATTAAGTCACAATGTAGTCACTAGTATAAGTGACTCGAAATCACATTCGCTATATTTATGTGTGATGTGGTTGGAAGTCGTCGACAGGAAGCTCTCTTTGAATTAAGCTTTGTGCTAATCGGCATTTGTCAGCAAAGAGTACTCTAAATCTTAGGGGAATCGATGTTATCTGTGCGACCCAAACATATGTGTGTCACTCAGCTTCCTAGTCTGAAGCGTTACCACCGAATTAGTTTTTTTTAAAGTCATTTTAAAATCATCTTAATATTACTACTAATTCGGCTTTGTAACTTTTATCATTATTATCAATATGAGTTTCGATAATGCAATGAGAAGAGGAAGTTTATCAGAATTATGTGATATATTTGCGCAATACATTTCGAACAATCTGATCACACATATACTTGTTAAGATATTTCTATATCTAAATTAAGAGGTCAACTAGACAGGTTAAAGGTAAGCCATAACAAAGAAAGAAAAATAATATTAAAGTACACAAAAATAAATGTGATTACCACTCTAGATAATAAATCAGTATTATCAGGGTAGGTTAAGTGTAAGGAAAAATTGTTTCTGAACGCATAAAGGGGATTTCAATTTCCATATAGCCATGGCTTCAATAAGCCGTAGTATACGTCTTTGAAGGCTTTTGTATAACACTACAAATGCTGACTTGATTTCAAACTTATGACCAATCTCAATCAAATGTTTCGCAATGGAGGATGATGTCTGTGATCTTATTGGACCATTGGAATTCATTTGTTTCTGCAGCTACATGTAAATTGATAGACACAATGGGATGTGACACAATCGCTTTCGTGCTGTTTGGGCTTTTGGTGAAACATATTATTATTATTATTATTATTATTATTATTATTATTATTATTATTATTAGCTTTATTCAATATTATATTATTGGTACAATATAGAATTCTCAGCACAAAGTATTTCAACAAGTTTCCGTTTCTTTCTTCTTGGTCGGTCCTCGCGATAAATACTGAGTGATCGCCAGCTAGATGTTAACAGTCCAGTAAATGAACATCTGAATAATGTACATTCTTTTCGTTGTATATTACCAGCAACAATATTCTCTCTTTTTGAGCTTTTTGTAACTTTGACAACGAAAGGTTGTACACTTTTCAGAAACGCAGCAAAATAGGTTGTGCGATTAATAGACATAATGATATATTAAAACAAACAAAGATAGATAACTTGTCGAAATATCTAGATGGCAGGAACAGGTAGCCCAGATGCTCAAGCAGGCTGCCTTTCCGATAATGATAAGTTGAGCTGCATAAAATGTCCGGTTGATAGTTGATTTAAGTCTCGGTTTCAACATGAGGCTATTTTTGTCGCCTCTGAATGGTAATGTAATCTAGACTCGTTTTTCGGGTGCCAGAAGCGTCATAGGTCTAGTCGTATTGCAACCCTTTCAGCTGTTTATGAACTTCAAACAATAACCATTATTCATTAACGTATCAGTCAAGAGCTTCGTCTCTACTTCAATATATATATATGATCAGATTGTTCGAAATGTATTGCGCAAATATATCACATAATTCTGATAAACTTCGTCTTCTCATTGCATTATCGGAATTTATCCAAGGGACTAATTGTTTTAAATTAATATGAATATTGTCATTATTATTATTATCGGCAGATCCGCACTGTAATTCTCTATGGCTAACTTGTTTATTGTTATTGATTTAGTCATTTCGATTATTTACATATTTTTGAAGTAACAAACGTAGCTAACCTAGATGTTTTGTATTAAAATTATCTCATGACTTCTATTACCATTATATTTATCATACCCTGGATAGACAGCCACATTTATTATACCATTCATTTTACAATATTTTAATTGATTGAATAGCTTTTGTAATCATTGGTTATTAACCAATCACAGTTCATTCTTGTTATGTGCGTATGTTTGTTTATCTAATAAGATTTCTGTTAGTTTGTATATGTTTATCTTTGATCATTTGGTCTATAACAATAAGACCCTAGATCATTTGGATGCATATTTTGTGACGATAATTTTCACGATTTAAAAAAAAACACAACGATGATCGCACTCTTTCCGTAATAAAACGTATCATTTTCGTTATTACAATATTTCTTTTCGTTAAAATCATGATGTAAAATATCATTTATTCATAACATATTCATTAAGATTTTTTTTTATTTTGCAAGTAAACTTAAAAAACTGATGATCCGCATGGTAGACAAAGTTAAAAGATAACTAATAGATCAACTAGAAAAGATTATACAACAAAGTTTAATCTCAGAAATCCTGTATGAAGTGCTGAAGTTGACAGGTATAATGACAATAAGACTATTTGGTTTGCCTAAGATACATGAAAACAACATTCTATTCATACCGGTCTTAGATAATGACTAGTTTTGGTTATCATACTACAACAATATGGTCAGTAAATAATTCTGGAACTAATGAAATGTTAAAGCAATAGGTAATTGAAGATTATTCAAAATATATGATCATGTAAGATAGGATATCATATCGTTTTCAAGGATGCTTTCGTAGACAAGGAGCTCATATCAATAGAATATACTGCCGTTTTCTTAATATTAATGTTGCATAAATGATCGACCAACTTGAAATCTCTCGGTGAATTCTTGCACTAACGACTTCGAATATGGTTCAATAGTTTCGTTAGCCACATAGTTAGATTATAGGTAGGCAATTGACACGTGGATAAAATTGGCGGTAGAGGGCTGTTAGTTTTATGAATTTGAGGGGATCCTTTTAAATGCGAATATTCAGAACCCACAAGTTTCAAGTTACTGATCTCCCTTTTATTAAAGATAAAAGTGTCTAGCAGTTTCACTAAAATTGAATTTACTCTTCCCCTGAATTACTAATTCCTTAAAGTTAGGTATCAGTTATAAACTTAATTTCATCATGATCAATAGGTATGATCTTGCTTTTGTGAAAGCATACAATAAAATGATTTATTCAAAACTATTGACAAACACCCATCTTCCTCCATTGCCAAACAAAGTTGGACAAAGGTTATAAGATTAATCTTAGCTCAGCCTTTATGATTTTATGCAAAGGTTGTCTAGGGTGAATAGTTAGGTTTTTTTGGGACATCTATATAGAATTTCAAACCCTTTTTGTTTGTTTGGAAACGATTTGTACTTGCACTAGACTGACACTGTTATTATTGATTTATCACATTGTTTTTCTAATTATTTTGTTTTTCTCTCATACTACAATTTGTCTAGTTAACCTATATATATACCTAAGCAAATGAGGGTGTGATCAGATTGTTCAAATTGTGATGCGCTAATATACCACATAATTATTGTAAACTTGGTCTTCCCATTGGTTTATCAAAATGAATTTTATTTCATTGTAAGAAAATGAATTTTTGTCACTTTGAATTGACACAAGAATCAGCTGCATTTTTATTCATTCGCTCTTTGGTTAGGGTTCTTTTATATGACTAGTATTCAAGTTCCGTAATTCATTTGTGTTAAAAATCAAGGGAGTTAATCATCGAACTACTGTTGCATTATGTTGATGATGTAATTTATCTTTATTTTTTTGTAAAATTAAAATCAGAACTTTTATCAGTTTTTTCCTTAATATTTTGCTTTAAACAGAAGCTTCAAGTTCTTAGTTTACGAGAGAATAAAATCCATACACTCCCAGCTGATCCTGGTATCGGTCAGTTGACCAATTTGATTACATTAGATGTTTCACATAATCATTTGGAGCAATTATCTGAAAGTGAGTTGATTTATTTATTCACATATATATTAATCATCATATATGATTCATAGTTAATTACATCATCCTACTTATTGCATCACCTATATTCCTTACTTTCCTAAGACTGATATTTCATGAATATGTTCAGGGCATAACCCAAAATTGTTTAATTAGGTGAAATTTTGGCTATGTCATCACATCGTGTGTATTTGATAATTTATTGTGATGTACTCTATATATTGAAGCTCGCTAGAACTCTAACAGTGGTTATTTGAAATTTGACAGAATCTGTTTAGATACTAATTAATACACAGGATAAGGAGAATGATCAACACTTGGAATCATTTATTTTTATTGAATCATGAGTGTTTGGGTATTAGCATGGTATACCAAATAACTTGACTTTTTTATTCAAGATTTTATAAATTCGTATAACAAATTTCCAAGATTTTCGTTTCATACATGTTCTTGAATTAGATTTTCGAATGTATTATCAGTCAACACAATGATATGCATACTGTTAAGTTGTTTTTGTAATTTCTAAACAAAATCCTTCCTAAACTTCAACAGAATTACCTTATCTGTATGCTAAGATTATGTTCTAAATGACTAATGGGCAAATATTTTCGGTCAAAGACTACATCAACATAAATACCTAATTGTGGTGGGGCGGACATATAAAATTTCAGTATGTTTTTAAACTAAGATGTCCATCTGTCTGCAGAAAATAGAATAACCAGCAAGCTCAATTGTAGTGGATATATCATACTCTGACAGATATCTTTCTGATCAGATTTCAGTGAGACTGGTTGTTTACTAAAATGCTAGGAAATAAGAATGCATGGATTTCTCAGCGTGCTCAGATTGTAGATTGAGTTTGTTTTCTAGTGCTTTAAATTCTATACATAGTTTATGTCCAAAAATATCTCTATTCTGCGAATTCTTAATGAATTTATTCAATATATGAAGAATGTCAACAATAAATGGAAAATCAGAAAGTCACTCGATTATTTTTCATTATATTTAAAAACTCATTCGTTGTGTTTTTCATTTCGGGTGAATATCGCAATTTCTTCTAAGGTTTCAGACCATATCCCAGAGAATAAAAATCAACTTAAGCAAATGTACAACGCATTTAATAAAATATTCTTTAAGATCTTTATCTGAAGTTCTGTGGTTTTGTAAACTATTTTCATATTATTTCACTTTTTGGCTCGTTAAATATATATATCTACATAGTTTTCTTGGCCTTTCTGTACCTCAATTCCTCCTGCTATATACAGTTTGTGTTTGTATGATAAAAGTTACATTGGTGCAGATTAATTATCTCAGAGTTTTGTTATATTTAGTATATGGTTAACAATAGAATACAGAGTCCACGTTTCACCCTATTTCGACTCACCAGCTGGGTGTGTATTGTTCTTAGTGTTGGTGTTCACAGAAATACTTGGACCCACTTCTTATTTCTTCGAAAGTCAACGTGCTATCCATTAAGCTACTGCATTCGAGTGGCCACTAACTGGTCCAACGGATGTGAACATCAACATTGGGATTTAGGTACATAAATATGACGAGTTGCAAACAACAAATTGCTCATCTTGGATTTCACTGCTAACCGAATACCAAATATTATTGAAGGTTATGTTGAGGCAATTCACTCGGAGCACACGTATGACGACAGAGGTTGACCAATTACTGTTCTGAATATCAACGATTAAAAGTTACAAACGCTTACTAGCATCTAAGAGTTATTATATTTCATTTCTATTTACTTCATCGACTTCTATGAATTAGATTTATCTTCCATGGACTATTTCTTGTAACTCTGGAAAATATATAATAAGAAAAATACACACTAATTTAGTAATTCGACTCAAGTTCTTCTTACGTGATTTGTTGTTGTTTGTAACTTGATTTTATTTGTTCAAAGTGAAGTCGATGAATCAAGGTGTGAATCTGCACTCCTAATTATTATTATTATTATTATTATTATTATTATTATTATTATTATTGTTATTATTATTATTATTAATTTTATTATTATTATTCGAGTACATGTAGTTTGTACACTTTGATCAAAGTATAATTCACCATATCGCCATACAGATAATCAAATCTATGCAAATTTTAGTCAACTATAAATAAAAGATCCTGTATAAATATGTATTAATTAAAATACTATTTAATTGATACAGTTTAATGTTTATGTGTATTAAACAATCATTATCATTAATGTTTTTCCATTACTATAATATAAAATATTTATTAAATAAGAAATAACTTTTAATACATCTAGACTATGTACTCCATATATGCTGATTACATTTAAATACGAAGTTACTTTCATTTAAATTTATTTTTTTGTTTCCCTAAAGTTAGTCGTTTTCATCACAGAATAATTTCATTGAACTTTTTTTTCTTCCGTACTTTTGAACGCCTAAAATCTGTGTTACTTTGGAAATTTTCAAGTGCTTCTAAAGGAAAACAATATTCAAATTAATCGTTAAATTAATATCTCTCCTATTAGTTAGTAGTTTTATTTTAATGTTACATTATTTAATTTCGTTATTATTTTGATATAATTTGGAAAAAAACTATACTTTGAAGGTGTCCCAAGGATAAAAAATGTATATTGGTCAATTTTTTCTATTGTCTATTATTTTCCTTATTGTTAAGGCTTTCTACTCAGATTTCTGGATTACCATTTACATATCTCCATTTTAAACATTATCACAGTCACGGTTGTTCTCTTCGCCTTATTGGATGTTTGTTTATTATGTTTCATCCTAGTATGGGATTCCTCGATGAAATTTGTTACAGAGACAATATTTTTCACTTAAGTGTGACATAGTGCTTTAAAGATTTCATACTCATCGCGTAATTGGGAATTTATAATTTAAATTTAGTGGATAAGGTAACAATAAAGGGATACTCTTGAGTAGCAACTAACAAATATGATAACTATTCAGATCTCCTTGTATTTCTCATGTGATCTAGTCCCATTCAATTAGTGATAGATGTAATCCTTAAAGAAAATTATTGTCTATATTGTGTTATTTTAAATATGTATGCTCATTTCGTCTCAATATTGTTTTTTGTTCTCTCTGTCTCTTTTCTTCTTACATAAAATGAAGAAATTGGTCATTGTCAAAAATTGTGCACATTAAGCTTACAACATAATGAACTACGTTCGCTACCGAATACAATTGGTGATTTAAAAATGTTAGAAAATATTGGCTTGAAGTTAGTTATAGTTATTATGAAATATGTTTGCATTTCTCTTTCTATAGTTTATTTATATATGATGAATTGTCAAATTAGTTTTTCTGTTTCCTTGTTTAACATTCACTTGTTTCGAAAAAGATCGTGTTTATACTCGCATTTTTAATAGTTTTACAATATTGTTCCAGAAATATTTGTCCAAAAATTAGTAATTCATTGTTTTTCAAATGATATTTGAATTTCGTCATTGTCGATGGTCGTCTATTCAAGGTTGAACAGTGTTGAACAAATATGTTTCCTTTCTAAAGGGCTGTTTCTACTACTTAGCTACAGCAGGAATGCCGTTGCATAAAAAAAAATTCTCAAATCTTTTGTATTTAAGATACTGACATGAATCTCTGATAATCATTTACTGGATTATAGCATTAAAACTGTCACTTTATAAATGACTTAAATTCAGCATTATTGAGTTTTTCAGTAGTTTATTGTAATTACGAATCATTGTTCTAACCTTAGTGTATATTACTTACTGTAGATTTAGATGTGTTAGTTTAAATATGAATTTAAGCTTATTGAAAATCATAAATGAAAATGTTTGTCCACAAGTGTAAGTTAACCCGAAAAAGTAAACATTTTAGTTGCAAAAGTTTTCGAAGTATGAAACTTATTTATTTCTAACAATAAAAGGAATGTTTTTATATCTGAAAAGTTCATTCAGGCTATTTTTGGTTTAGTGATTAAGGTATTAATTCCTCGTGAAGACTGTGATTATCCCCTCCATTAATAAAAGAAAATAGAACAGTCAATAATTTCAAGTTTAGTTTAATCGCTTTAAATTTCTTAAAACGTCGTGAAATTCTTGTACTCTGACACTTATTATTAATCGGATTCCGGCTAGATTTGTTTTTGTTCTTATTCTCCTGTTTCAAGCGTAATTCTTTTTTTTGTTTCATGTTGCTTAAACAACAGTTTATGCATAAAAAAACCATAGTTTAGTACTCTACAATAAAATACAATGTTTCATCAAAACCATTTCAAATCATTTTACTTCTGGACTTTTTTTATGCATATTTCTAAATAGTCAGAGTTTTCCCTACCTCTGTTAACATTCCTTTCTCAAAGATTCATTGTTTCGCATAATTTAGTAGACAGATAGATGTTTACTGAACTGTATTTCTTATTTACTAATTGCTTTATTTATACATTTTATTCTCTGCAGATATAATCACTTGGAATCATTACCAGATTCGTTAGCACTTTGTACAAATCTCTTAGAATTAAATATTGAAGGCAACAATATTTGGCAATTACCGGTAAGTGTAAATATTCTTCATTGAGTTCCCCTTTTTATTTTTTTGCCGCGTTTGTTTTCTTTGCGTAAACATTCTAAATTGAATTCAACTATTTTAGAGAAAGTGAAACCCATACACAATATATACATGAAATAATAGTTTTTAAAAACTAATGATTATGAAAAAGGTTACTTTAATTTAAGGAATTATTTTTTTACCTGTACCATAACATAAAAACTGTCTGTTCGAACAAATCATCAACAAAGTTATATTTCAAAAAATAAAGAAGACGAACAATAAACTCTCTCGAGAATTATTATTAAAACAATTAAAGCTGGTTGGTTGGCTGCATACACATTTTCATTAATTTACAAATTGAATAAACGTATTCAAATAAAAGCATAAAATATTAATAGTTTTTTTTTAATAGAACACTGATGAGAACTTCACATCTGTATCTATTACATTTGTTGTTTTACATCAAAAGTGGTTGTACATACATTAAGTCGAACCTTTTTTCGTTATAAATTGTTATTATTATCACTTTAGACATTTAAGTAGGTCATTTTATATTGTTCGTGAATGGGATTCCTATATGAATTAGTGATGGATCTCTGAAAAATATTCATTTGCAGAAAACAAACATCAAATGACTTAGCTACTCAATCTCTATGTTTGTGTTCCATTAATCAGAAAGATGAATTTTATTTGTTCTTAGTGTTATCGAATATAAAAGATTTATCTTACTGTATGTGGGTTAAGGAAAAACTTTTTTAGTTTTGAAGAACGACAACAGGATGCAACAAAATGTTACACAATTTTCATTGTTATTATTCACAGTAATATAAAAGGTAGTATTAAAATATTCATATTACATCACATGTTCATTGATTGTTTCCATACATTCACATAATGAATATCTGTATATATTACAGATGGTCATTTTATCATTTTTGAAAGACTAGCCTTTCCTATCTTTATTTAAATATAAAAAATCATGAAAATATTGTCCAATACATTTTTTAGTGTTTGTTTATCCTTCATTATCAATATTTTCCTAAGGACAATGTATTCTATTCGTTCTTTTTTTGTTGTCATTAAATTATTCACAAGGAGGGACTGCTAACACATTTGAAAAAAGTTTCCTGTGTGACATTGTCAAGAAATTATTTTAATATTTTTCCATCTGGTGGTCCTCAGCAATTTACTTCATTACAAGTTAGTTATGTTCTATAATCTTTCATTAAGCTTGTATTTAAAGTATTATTTATCAATAGTGTTCGGTAAGAATATTTTAAGTTATGTGCTTATCAGAATGGGTTTTGTGGAGAGTTTTAGAAATTTCACAGGTTGAAATCATGAGTCAGTTGAAGCTAGACCACCATTGAAAACCTGGAAGCACTGGACGGCCGTTTCGTCCTGGTATGGGACTCCCCAGCAGTGCGCATCCACGATCCCGCACCACGCGGGGCTCGAACCCAGGACTTAGTTTGATCACATCTATTTTAATACTTTTATTGTTCGTAACTGAGCATTTCCGTTGTAAGTGTATTCAAGATTGAACTGATCATCAATCTCTGTCGACAATTCGGACTATTTAGCCCTCAGAAATATAATCACATAAACCTTCATATGTTGATGCGTAACAAAATGTTGACCTGGGGTTAGAAAGCTCACTTGACCTTTTCCAGCTTGAAATGGCTCAGAATCGGATGGTCTAGAAGTTGAGTGTTCGCGCGCGAGACCGAAGGCCCTGAGTTTGAATCCCACGGGCAGGATCTTTGATGCACACTGTTGAGGAGTCCCACAATAGGACGAAATAGCCGTCTAGTGCTTCCATCTCCATATTACTCAATTAATAACAAGTATCAATTTATATCAGTGTTATTATTATTGTTTGTCATAATCTATCACTTCTTTTGTTTTATTTAAACTTTTGTTAATTTATTCCGGTTATTTATTTACTTTGAAGAAGTGGCTTACATTAAGTCACCAAACAGAATTTTTCTACTCATTGGGATATAGGAAAAAATAGATTTATTATTAACCTTTTACCCAACCTTTGCATTGATGCCTATAAATCTATCACTTCGTTGGCTCATTCATGTCAATCGTTTTGTTATTTTCCATTTTCATTCATCATAAATTCGATTCAACTAATAAATTCCTTTCTTTATTTTTTCCAAAAAAATATGTCTCAAACTTCAGTCTCTCAATATGGAGTACAATCAAATAACTCGAATACCGTTTGGTATATTTTCACGAGCATCAAATTTAACTAAATTAAATATGAAAGATAATCAAATCGGTGCTTTTCCACCGGGTAAATGCACTCCTTCATATAATTTTTTTTCCTTTATCCAATATTGCTTATTTGGTTGATATCTACATCAAAGCCATGCGTTTTCATTTTCATTTTTGCCGTTTATAATTACATTCATGCATACTATATTCTGTGTAAAAATATCTATGCAAATAATATCCACCTATCAATATCAGTCATGTTGGGTGTGAGACGGTTGTCACCGATAGCATCGAATGATCGTTGCGCAAATTATTACGTAAATTAACTGAAGTTGTAGTTATACTTTTGGACTTCAATCCATGCTGTTCTAATGGTTAAGCGTTTGCTGTAAGACCTGAAATTCTTGAGTTCGATCCCTGATGTGAGGCCGTAGGCGTTCAGTGTTAAGTCGCATGCTAGGATTAAACAGCTGTCTAATGCTTATTTTTAAATGATGCCCCAATTGACTGTTACCAATACCACCTATCAGTATGAAAATAAATTAACAAGTGATTTTTATTCTTGCACAGTCAGTTTGTATTGAAAGTGGTATGAATAATCATGGTTTATGTTGTGTTCAGATCAAAAGTTGATTTATTAGTGATTTGTATGTATGTATATGTGTACTTATGAGAGTTCCGAGCTACTAGTATATCCAACTGTGTTGGTCAGCTTGAGTTCATATTCTGTAGTTATTATAGCGTAAATGAGATACATTCATCTCCATATATATATATATATATATATATATATATATATATATATATATATATATATATCCCTAAGAGTGTGAAAAACAACCTAGTGAAATGAATGAAGAGGTATACTATCATTAGCAATATAATCGTTAGAATCGTTGTAGCATTCAAATCATCAAGAAATCACTAATAGTTTTAAAAAATCACAGTTCCAGATCTAATCTTTACATTCTCACTAGACTTAGCCTAACACACATGATCTTTAAATCTTCAAGTTATCGTATTTAAATTCCAGTGATATTACTTGGCTTCCAATACTAAAAATAGTAGAGTGCACCTCGGAATTTAGTAGTTAGGGCCTATATAGCAAACTTAAATTCTTTAAACCTTGAGTCTCGAGCATTACTTTTGCGCTGATGACTGATTGTGTGAAGACATTCGATCTATAAATTTACAATCTAGTGATTTTATCACTCTTTTTGTCAATTTTATTAATTGTTATTAATCTTTTAGTTTACTTTCTATTGTCTCTACTATAAAATGTCATTCACATTCTCGCCTTACATGACAGTGGTTATTACTATTTCTATTCCTACTGCTACCACTACTACCACTACTACTACTACTACTAATAATAATAATAATAATAACAATAATAATAATATCGAATATATTGATATTAATAATGATAATTATTATTAGTGTATGTGGATTGCCTTAGTTTATAATTAATATTATTTTTAAAATACTGAATCATATTTGTTACTATCTCCGTTTATTTTATTTATTCCTTTTCATTATATATGTATTTGATCGTTAATTATATCTATATACTGGGAAATGTATATAAGATATTAAAAGTTGGACAAGTCTAGTTGAATTAAATGTTGGTACAAATCAATTAACAAAGCTTCCAGATGATATAGAATATTTAATTAATTTGGAAGTATTAATTTTGAGTAATAATCAATTAAAAGTGAGTTATTTCTATTTTATTTCTGGTACTTTATGATATTCCTTATATTGATGTATACATTTATATACATGCATGTGTGTGCTGTGCTGGGTACATTTTAATTGTACACTTTCGATAGAAACAGTGATTGTTTATTTCTTTTACATCTATCTTGTTCCAATATTAACTTGTTATATCAAAATGGTGGGGATTTCAATTGAGAGGCAATGTATTTTAAATTGTGGAAGACAACTATATTGTGAATAATATATGAGTAAAAAAATGTTTAATTCACTAATTCATTAACAAGATTTTAAGATGCTGAAATTACATGATAACAGTTGGTTATTTGAACAAAATCTTTTCATCCATTCATTATATACCATAACTACGAGGACGATTTGTGGTTTTCATTTTGATACTTTGCTTTTAGGTAGTTGAAAGAAAACTAGTATAACTCAGTCATAGATTATGAAGTTAATTGAAACATGTTTGTGTCCCACAGAGAGGACTGGGATTCTTGATGATTACATTTAGTCATTCAACATTTCAAAACAGTACACACGATGTTCAGTCACTTAGATCAGTTCACATATTTAACATTGGTTGACAGTATTTGATTAGAACTGAGGGTCTGAATGAACATGACAATGGTCACTACTCTGTAATTAATTAACTGTTGACGTTGATTACTTATGTAAATGAGATTATTTATATTTTAAGGTTGGGTTTCATTTTGAACTAATTCTTTGTGATGAATAACTGAGAAAATTGATGACAGTACTTTGGAGGTTGTTGACACAGGATAGAAATATATCGCTTTTCTTTTTCACACGAAAATTCTTCATTTATTATTCATAGGTTTGTTACAAAAACAAATCGTCAAATGGCAAAATTCATTGTCCTATTCTATCCAATATCTCATAATATTGTTTATGTTCAACAATCTTATTTTAAATTCTTATAATTAGCAGTAAAATTGATCATAATTCATTGAATACTATATGAAACGTTTTGTAATTGGTAACCAAAAGTATTCGTGAAGTTTTTCTTTGAAAAAAATATATTTTTGTTTTAGAAATCATCTTACTACTATTGTGTCTAGCTGATTTATTTCTTAAGAATAATATTTATAACTTCAACAAAACTGTATATTGACTAGTCTGGTGTGTATGGTATAGAAGAGCTGAGTAATCTGCGAAGTGGGAATCGTCTAGTTGCATGTAAGCTGTCCATTGTATTTCGTGCTTCCCGTGAGATGTGTAGGTCTTCGTAATCCAGTCAATCACCGTAAGAAAGAGGGAGGGAGGGAGAGAGTAGGCAGCCTTGTCTGACTCCGGTTATTCTTTGGGATGTGTCAGTCGGCTGTCGTTCATGCACAACTGTGCAGTTCAGTCCGTTGTATGAATTCCGGATGATGTTGACGATTAAGCTTACATAAGATTATCCTATTCACACTATCAAATGTTTCCTCATAGTCAATTAATTTGATGTATAATGACGTTCCATTCAACTGGTTGTTCAACAATGATCCGTAGTATCGCAGTTGGGTTTGTGCACGATCGATCTTTGTGGAGTTTGGCCTGTTGACCAGGAAGTGGGGCGTTTACTGAGTTTCACGTGGTTCAGCAACACTCAGTTGAAAACTTTTGCTGGTATTGATAGTAGTGTGATTCTACTGTAGCTTTCATACTTGTTCAGTTTTCCTTTCTGTAGTATCCTGATGAGGTATCCTTCTTTCTAATCCATCGGCTCTTGTTCTTCCTCTTATGCTTTGAGATTCACATCCCATTGGTGCTTTACACAATTCTTTGGACAACAACATAGCAAGTCCCTGAATCTGTGGAACTTTTTTCTTGATTGTCCGAGTACAGAAGCTCGTCCATAGAACTTAACCTTTTCTGTCCAGCTTGGGTACACTGTGTTTCGCTGATTCCGAGAACCGTCAACTTGTATCTTCTGGTCCTCCCTCCCACATTTTCTGGACATTCCGTCTACCTATATTAATTGTTACTCTAGTTGTTTGAAGGGGCATCGTCCTCGTGACTTCCGAAGAATCTCGACTTTCACCATGAGGCGTCATAATTCTTGTGAATGAAGATGCTTCAAATCGGCGGGCAGGGTTTAGATTGCTCACTCTGGCTAGCGTATTTTAGCAGCGTTGTTTTCTGCAGGGTGAGATTGTTATGACCAGCCCTCCTTTACTCGGCTCGGGACCGGCAGTCACCCTGGAATGTCTGCAGGCGAGGTTATATATATATATATATAAGCTTGAGACGGTGTGTCTATGCCTATGCGTATGCCGTTTTGATACAGACATTTGGTTTCAATTAGGTTTAGGTCAGGAATTTCCGTGTCAGTTGACTATTTTTCCGTTTAGTTGAAAAGTATTGATCTGCTGTCTAGACTGCGTGAGAATACGTGTCTTCCTTGACCTTTATTTCTTTGATGAATCAATAGACTAAAACCAGAAATAAATACTAATCATTTTAGTAATTAAGACAACATCTATTGTTTATTCTCAGTTTCGCTATTATTTAACATTACAAATGATGTAAACATACATTTATAAATGGAAATTATTATTATTATTATTGAGTTTGAATCTCTAGGACACTGGATTTCTCCGATTCACTATTCTAAGGGCAACACACTCATCACAACTAATGAAGGTTTCATGAGCAATTCCTTACAGAATCTCCTTTTCACAATTCTGAATATTTGTTTACTAAAATCAGGCACATATTCAGTCCACCCTAGTTTTTAATAGTTTCTATACAACTGATATTATTCTGTCAAGAATTTCATTTTAAGCTGCTTTTATGCATACCAGAGTATTATGCTATCTTTGATCAAGTTTAAATTTCAAATAGCATGTGCTATAAAGTCAGTTGATTTTTTTTTCCGTGGGATTATCCAGATGAATTTTTGTGCGTAGCTGAGAAACAGAAAATTTATGAATTTTCTCAGTCTATTTTTGCTTATCATCCTCTTGGTCTATGTTATTTCTCGGATATATGATAATAATGATTATTTAAATTGAATTCTTTATGTTTTGACTAAAATTGGATCAACTACTTAAATATTATTAGCTTATCAGTCTGTCTTTTCTGCTGCTCTATTTTATCATTAACCCCGTTTATATATATAATACTTGGGCTTCCAATCCGAAACAAGGTTTTCTCACGGTATCACTCGTTGAGTCTTCAACCTGTATTTCTAATCCACAAGGTAGTAAAGTAACATCAGGAGACTCAATCTCATGGTATTTGAAGACCAAAATAGATCTGTACAGAATTTATTCATATGAGATTCTGAAGCCCACTCTCACCTTCAGTTTAGAATTAGGGTTTCCTCTTTCTTTTAGGTGGATCCTGCGTTCCCACCAAATTGCAACCATTTACTTGTAATATAGTCTAGTATATTCATCAATAATCTTTCTAACATCCTTCACATTGCTACTTGACACAGCTTATTGTTTTCCTGAAATAAAGTCCAAAATGAAATAAAAGAGGAACGGTGTAAAGGAATAAGTAATCGAAAACTATTGAAAAATTGCAGTGAGGAATTTTGATTTATGTCGAAAACGTATTATATTTTTGTATAAAATACTTTAGACGGAGAATTTTTTTGATATTAGCAAAATATTTGGAATCGAGGAGCGGTTCCAAAAAGGCTACTTTAACTAAGATAAATACTATTTAAACTACTCTTTATAAGTATTACACGAACACTACAGAAGTGTTTTTATAGTTACGTGAGTATTATTGTCTTCAATGAATGGTTAAGGAGGTTTTTCTATTGAACCCTATTTAAGTAGTCTAAATCGTGTGATTGAGAAAGTTTAAAAATTTTTCACCTTAGCGAACAAAAACACTTACCTAAAAACTTTCCACATATCTCACATTAAAGTCTTAATAATTTTAATATAAAATTAATTATTGAGTAATGTAATGTTGTCCAGATTGAATTTACTACAATCCGTTCGTTTATTGGTCGAATTTGGACTATTGCGAAAGACAACAATATTTTATAATTTAATATTGTGGTTTCTTGTTTGATTTTACTGTTACATGGAAATAAAGTTTCCAATTGTTTTACCTAGAATTTTATTTTGTTGAACAAGGAAAAAAGGATTGTTCTTTTCATTTTATTAAATATTCTGCTTTTTACTGCCCCAGTTGTTTATCTGATTCATGATGCATTCATACACATACATAAATATAAAACAGACTAGCATTATTTTCTGTAAGTTAAAAAAGGAAAAAAGATATTTCCTGTCTCATACTTCACGTTAGGAAATTTATTGCGGCCCTAGATTGCTTTTTCTCTCAACCGATCAATGTCTTTGTATTAGTAGAACAGAATGGTCAATGTCAATCTAGAATCATGTCTGTTAAAAATTCCACTTAACCAATCAGAGAGGGTGATTTATGATTCATTGACCTTGATTATATAAATTCCTCGATTCACTGAAGTGATTCGCCAAATTTATCTCCAAATATACGCTTCTGGTGTCCAAAAAGGGAACTTATTTTGGACCCTGGAAAGTTTGGCATTGAACACATTATATAGTTATGTCTGGAAAATTCAAGATGCTTTTGATTCGCATGACCTTACTTTACCGGAATTTTCAAATTACCACTTAAACCTTTTATATTCCTTTTGGAATTTATTAATATGTGTTAATTTCTTTATTGTTTTTTCTTATTAGAAGGAAGTAGTTATCCCACTTAATATTAATGTCTTGAAACCGTCGAAATAACATCTGTCTCAATAAATATAACGAACCTTGTATTTGGAATACACTTTCCGAAAGTTAGTGAATTGTGAAATCAAAAATTATAGGTGGTAAAATTAAAACCTTGGAGAAAGACAAAAACTGAAGGTAGTTGCAATGGAGTTCTAGCCGTGTCACTGAAAATCTCTAAACAGTAACGTTTCCTGACACAATTCAGCTCACCAGTCAATAACTATTTGAACTGATGCCATATCTCGGCATGGCAACAATAATCCTCCTTTTCTCTGTTAACTACAATTGGTTTTCGAAGTGGTTGATGGTCGGCCACGTATTACACTACCCTGCTTGATATAATTTATTTTTAAATAGTTATAGAATTACGATCACATAACCATGCTTCATCGTCTCTTTAACTACTATTTAGTTAATCTAACAATAATGATAGCACTAAATCCGTCTGATCCTCTCTATGTGATCTATAATCCTTTTTTTAATTATCCCCTTTTTCAATGTGTTTATTTTGTTGTTTCTTTCTTCTCTCTCTTACTCTTTTCCTTCTACTACTAATCTTTTGTTACTTTTTTCTCTGTTATTTCCCTAGCAAATCCCAGTAACTATTCGAGAATTACAAAAACTACAAGTTTTAGACTTGGAAGAAAACCATTTAGAAAGTTTACCGCCAGATATTGGTATGTGGTCGTTTCTTTGTTTGTTTTGAATGGTGCTTTTACTGTGTAAAAATCCACTTCATTTTGTTAACGTTGTCTTTCTAATGCTTTTTTAAGGGGAAGGGATTTTGTCGAGGGCTGTTTTTGTAATCTATGATTGACATCAGTTAATGACAGCCGTTTCCCTCTAGTTTTTAACTTTATAGCAACACACATCCATACACTTACACGGAGCCCACTCTATTACATATGTCTAAGTTTAAGAGGTATATTTTATATTTAAAAAATAAGTAATGTGGCCGAGTTTAAATACAATCAATCTCATTTCATTCATTTATATCATTATAGTTTACTAGTAACTCTCTAACGTAATGAAGTGGGTAAATTTGTTCAATGTATATTGGAATTTGATTACGTTACTAGTACATAACAGATGATTATTCATTTACTGCAGTCTACTAAGACCTGTAAATTTTACTTTTTATAGTCAAGTAATTCACAAAATTCTACTGGCTTTGGATTGAACTATTCAGAAGTAATATTTCATTGTATATCCTGCAATCATAAACTATACTATACTTCGATAATAAAAGAAATTATGTCTTACAAACAATTTCGATTTACAGAAAACAAAAAATAACCTGATTCGAATAGCTTATCTAATTTGTTAGATTAATTATGTAAATTCATTTCAAAGATCTATTGAATTTGAACACTAATTTGGATAAGGCATATATGTGGTGTGTGCTACTCATATTGACAGATATAAGTAGTATATATCAACAGTCGGGAGTGGATTACTTGTCAGTAAAGGATTGAATTGAAGAGAACGGGAGGGGAAACAGCAGTTATAATAACAACAGAATTGAAAGAGTCGTGGAGCATGTAAAAGACAACTAAAAGAAGGTGCGCAAATAATGTAATTAGTGTATGGTTTTCATATTTTATGAAGGCAGTTTGTAATTTTGCATTGATAAATAAATTAGTTTTGCCCACCTGAGTTCCTATTCACTACATATAAATATTGGTGATTTAGTGTGAACATATCAGTTTTGTAAAAGAGAGATGGTTAATCAATCATTCTCAACTCTGTTTTTTTTTCTGAGACGTTAAATAATACTTACTTTAATTCCATCCATTTACTTTTTTTACGAGTTTATTCAACTAACTGTAGAATTGAAATTAAGTAAATTTGTTTGATCATATAAATGAACATTTTGATATAATTCCTTAATAAAAAATCAATGGTAGAAAAAACGTATTGGGAACTTGTGATATGTATAGTAATTATGTGTTTCAAAACGAAACAGAAAAAGTCACTTGTTGTTTCTTACATTATCTGTATTTATGGATGATATTCATTTCAAGTGTCGGTTTTCAAACCATATACACTATTGCTTCTGGGTTCATAATCATTTTGAATTTCCACCATTTTTTGATTTTTATCAGGTTATCTAGGTGAACTTCAAAGATTGGTGGTCCAATCGAATAGGCTGACTAGTTTACCTCGAGAAATTGGGTAATTACTATTTTTATTGTCTTTCATCTCACTGAGTTTTTTTATAAACAGAGATATTAATCATATTTTACGTGTTTGTGTGCCTTTTTTGTCCAAGTATATCGACCCTTCAATTCAAATATAATGTCTAAAGGTTAAAAATCTGGACAATAGAATATTCATTTCGATTTTTTTCTGCGTAAATATGAAATTCCAGACTTCTATGGCGTTAATTTTTTTCACTATTTATTAACACCAAAGCCGTAGGATGTTTGAAAAACAGAGAACATTGAAAAAATATTCTGGACCAGCTTAAAACACTAATCTGTAGTGATCAATCACAACGTGATACCTAGTCGGTCTCCTTGACCACGATATGCATCTGGATTACTAAGTTGCGATAGAATAGTTCATTTTTCCGAATCCCATTAATTTAACATACTATACATCGATTATTCAGTTTCATCGATGGTATCTTTTGTATTCTCAACACAGTGTAAGTGCGATGATTACAGTTTTTCACTATTGGAAAATTATGGACTATGCACTTAGGACCTAGTAACAGAAACATAGTATAATAATCTACTTGAAACTTTTACATCCTTAATAGGTGTGCGGTTTATAGTTCACACTAATGAGAAGTATTTCTTAATCAAATCAAAGTAGTTTTACACTCCATCTAATTTTCAGCTACTTTCTGAGCTGTCCTGCCTGTGTTTAACGTGTATCTGATTTCTTGTTGAGAAAATCTCTACAAACAACCTATTTTATGTACGTTTCTTTTAAAGTTATTACTTAATGTAGTTATGTAGCATTTATTGCAATATGAAATTTTAAAATGTTTGAGAATATCCAAAGTCTCTTATGTGTAACATGAAACTGACTTCGGGCTAATCAAATAATAGTAAACCATATTAATGGAAATTAGTACATAGCGTATTGTACTCGGATGTTTTAATAATGACTTCCTACTTTTTGAACTGAAAAGGCAGAGTGGAGCGAATGAATAGAAATAGAACTTTCACTCCAACTTCTTTAGTTATACAAAAAACAACAGTATTTATATGTTATGGTTAACCTTGATGTTCTTGAAACTTTTCGATCAAACATTTAATTATGTTATTCAAGCTACTTATCAGTAGTAAATTAATTTATGGAAACTAATCTAGAATTTCGGAAATACTCACTAGCTATCCAAGTTCTCCATACCATACAATATTGATCGGTTTTGAAAAAAAACTTAGTACGTTCATCATCATGTACAGACAAAATGAGATGCAGAATGAATGAACTGAGAAGTTTTTTTCTTTGCCATGATCTAATATCTATTCTTGGAAATCACAGCTAAACTACTACTGACGACTAGTGTCATATTGTCAAGCACACTGATGTGTAATTTATATATCTTATATTCCCCTTAATGAATCAACAATTTAATTCTATATTTTGGTTGTTAATATATCTATGACGAGTATAATTTTGCTCAAGTTGTTAGAAAATTAATTATTAACTTACTTCCATGTTATTCACTCTCTATTGGACAATATTTTAATCGATTTTATAATTTCAATTATACTCAACAGTCGAGGAAGTTCTTCTTAATAGCTACCTTGGCGACTTATTATTTTACAGTGTGTGTGTATAGTTTACTTTTCTGTTGGATAAATTAGTCAGTAGTTTGAAAGTTCAACTCAACTAGAAAATGTAATCAATTATTACTTGCAATGAATAAATTGAAACTTTAACTCACATCTCAGATAATTTCGGATTATAAATAAACCGTTAAACACAACAATTGTAAATGACAAGATTCAATAACAATGAGCTTTACAAGAACATGCTACTCTGTGAACCCTTATGTATATAAAAATATAGTTTCAATTGTAACATGCATATGGAACCTAAAGTTTTATTGGCAATAAACTTGTCATCCATATTTATTATTCTAGTATTTTATGGATACGTTAATGACTACAGATTATCAATGCACTACATTGATTACTTTGTCATTATTATGATTATTTATGTTCTCAACAAGTCATCGATTATTAGGGATTCAAGCAGATACTAGAAGAAATATAAATCTTTACCGTGCACGGATTGAGAAGTAAATATATACAATAAATATACTGATCATTAATTCAGTCATCTCATGGTGCATCATCTTTTCTTTCAAGGTTATTTCGCTAGTGTTCTGCTGTGCGTTTCCAATGATAATTATATCAGTTTGCATTGATGATAGTCGTTTTCTTTATTACTTGAACCTTTAATTGAAACTCTGAATTTTTATTTTTCTGTTAACAACTTCATCATCAATTATCTAAATCTGTATATAAATGCCTGTTCTAAATTTCTTTTGCTTTATCTGTGTTTTTCAGTCGCTTATATAATTTGATTTATTTAGCCGTTGGTGAAAATGAACTACAAAGTATACCAAATGAAATTGGTGAGTTTCATTTCTCTATTATTATTATTATTATTATTATTATTATTATTATTATTATTATTATTATCTTTAAACTACTGTTATTATTACAAACTTTCCATTGTATTTTGATTGGGTTTTTTAAAATTAGGTTTTAATAACCTTCACTGTTGGAAAAAAACAGCGTTGTTGGTAATCTATTCAATGAACCTCGATTTCATATTTAATTAAATATTTTATTTTTTTACCAAGGCAATTTATAGAGATCTAATCTTGTTTGAATATTTTGTCAATAAATAACAGCTTTACTATTACCTTTCCCATCCCTTTCACACACACACACACACTCAATACGTATACTTTGGCAACTCTTTAATGATTGCAATTTGCCTCAGTTGGATTAGTAAAGTATTTTTGAGGTCACCTCGTTCGATTCTCAGTCATTCCAATTTTGATAGTATTAGATCTGTCGAAGCGTCCAAGTCACCCGATTGAGATACGCGCAAATTCGAAGTTTCCAAAACAACGATTTGTCTACAATAGCGGTTCTTTATTAAATAATACACAAAATTTAGTTACAAACATCAACTTGTGAGGTGTCTAGGCGTTTAAACGCGTCCTTCAAGAATGAAAATAACAAAGGCTTCCTGTAAGAGTAACATAAAGAATAATTATAACATACGTTAGTACAAAGGACAGCTGATAGCTGTCTCTAAATTTGATAACAGTTTACGAACAACCGAAACCCGAACCAGGAGCAAACAATATAGAAACTGTTGCGTTTAAAAAAATGCGCAGAACTGTGGATAACGGCTATAGCGATTAAGATACAGTAATTATAATTATAAATACAATGATAAGTACAATAAACGTTATAAGTATGTGTGAACATTTCAGAATATTACAGTACAACTTGCGTTACAACATAAGTTTGAAAATTGTTGGGAATATAACTGCTTACTGAATGTAAATAAGTAGTATAAGACAATATACAAAAGAGTAGAAAGGGGACGAGTAGGAACAATGTAAGACAAACTTAACAGATAGTCTTTAATAAATCAATTATTCGGATCATAAATATAGGTTTAAAGTTTTACTAGCAAGTAAAACAAGATAATGTAATGTATAAGATTTGGAAGAAATTAGTTATATTTAAGCTATTCATGTTTTTTAATTATTTCCATTTTATTTTAAATAATTAAGTTTTTATTTCATTATCATGAATTTAGTTGATAACTAAACAAATAAACTAATGATTCCGTACATATTGCTGAAAATAGAGTCCTAAATTAATAGAATTTCAAACTTAAAATTGTCAGTCACCATTTCAATTAGTATAATGCAGGTAGTTGATATGTTGTCACACTTCTTTGATATGGAAACTTCATTTTAAGTTAGAATTCACAAAATTGTATATTTGTTTGCTTTTTAACGTTGATAAAACACGCCATTTTGTTTGTCACTCAAAGTGAAAACACTTAACTGAAAGATTGCAATACATTAGATGCCCATTAATTGAATATTTATCGTTTATGTTAAATAGTTAAAAGTTGTTGGCAAGAAACCTTAGACCTATACTTCACACTAGTTTTTATTTATCATTAATGTGTATTTTTGATCTTCAGGGGATTGATACTCCTTTGGAAATCCTAACCTGTGTCACCCACATTACAACTTGCTCAATAGAATTTCACTCTCATTGAGGACTTGACAAACGTAACATTGGTTACTATTCAGTGACTAATCAGTATAGATACCTAACCTTTTCAAGTTGAAGCTTATAGCTAACTATGTATCAAAAGTTGCTACCAGTCATTCTTATTCCGAAAAGTCATTACTTTGTAACTGGGAGTATAGTTAATTTCTCAGTCTATTTAATTTTTTTGCATATGTATTTATAGATCTTTCAGTGGATTAGGTATTGTTTAGCTGAATACTAATAGACAGATAGAGGAAAGATGTATATTAACCATTTTTTTCTATTCTTTCTTTTAAAATAATGAGTAGCTATATTAGATTTAAGCGTAAAAAATCAGGTTGTTTTGAGTGTATGCAAGTTTTAACTCGAAATAAATTCAACCATACATTACTGTCCACATAATGTTAATCCAGTAAACAAATAGTATTAATTAAAATAGGACTTTTTAATTACTTGTATATACTAGGCAAATGTTACACTAAATAATTATTCTTACAATCAGTATATTCTGACATAATTCATGACACACTGATTCACTAGTTAATTGCTGCTCTGGTTAGGGCAATCTGAATAAAAATTGATGAACATACCACACTGGATATAAATTACATTATTTTTAAATGATATATTGGTAGAGAAGATGAGAAATACCAAGGTGTATAAATTTATAAACTATTTACCTAGTGATCACTAAAGCACTCAGTTCTCACCTAAAAAGTCTGAGTTTTGAACATCGCTTTATCCATTTCGTTATTTAGGTAATCAGTCAGCCAGTACGATCAGCAACTTGTCAGACAGTTTAACTCAAATTTGAGTGCATAAACCTATATTGATTTTTATAAAATGCTCAATATTTGAAATGAGAATCGATTTGCACTTTTCGTGTCGTTGGTAAATCTGTCCAAATTGTATGTAGTGTAATGATTTAACAAATTAAACCATTAAGTCAGCAGTCGTGGTTAGCGAATCCACTTTATAGCCTAACCATTATGCGTTAAGATACAAGCAGATATTCATTCATTTTCTTCATTCATATGTATTTAACTGATTATTATCACTTTTACGTTTCTGTCTATACTATTTTCATAAATTTGAAGGTGATCTACATAAATTGGAAACATTATATTTAAATAATAATTTGAACTTACATGATCTTCCAACTGAATTAGCTATGTGTTGTAGTCTACAAATGATGTCCATTGAAAATTGTCCTTTAACTCAAATTCCTGTTGAAGTTGTAACTGGTGGTCCTTCACTAGTAATTCAAGTGAGTTAAAAAATTAAATTAAAAATTAATGTTTCCTGCTTACTGTATAATAAAATTTGTTTATAAATATATTAGAATATATTTTGTAAGTATTCAGTAATGATACGAAACTATGTGTAAAATAGGAGATTATTGATAACACGGTGTATTCTTTTATTGTTATTATTACTTAGCATTTTATGATATTGGAGTCACTGCAGTATTTGTAATTTCTTAGTTCATGAAAAAAAACATAGAACACATCAAAGCACATCCATTGTTTAACACTACATCAGTCCAGAAATAGATTATTACAATTTGTAATATTCAGAAGTAAATGGTATTTACAAAAGCTAGAAGGTATGCGAATCAACGATAGTTTTGAACTACGCTCGATCCACCTTGGTTAAGACGGTTGATTATTATCACTAAGCCTCAGACAAACAATTTAAATCAATGCCAGTTACATAATCCCTTGTAATTGTCAAATAAGTGAGCATTTAAATAAACTAGAGTGATTTCAGTGGATCTTCAAGAACTTAATAGAAAGTTCATGTTTCCGAAGAAAATAAAGCAGGAATTAATCCATACCATTATTGTTTAGTTCAGTCTATATCATTTACGATCTCTATATTAAGCAGATTAATCGTCAATAGACTTAATGAATTCATCAGAATATTGACAACTTTGTTATTTTGTTTTAGATGTATAGGTTAATTGTTTAATACTGGATGCTTGTTGCTATGTTTAAAAAAGATAGCGTGCCCGTACACCAAAATAAACAATATTAGGCATACAGACCTTAAAATCCACTCTTTTACTTGGTTTCGCAGTTTTCCATGTATGTATTGCAGTATAGACTGATCAATAGCACAGGAATTTAAGTGAAACTTATTAATAGAAGTAATTTATTCACTAATACTTTCTCGATTACGTTATTTGCTAAATATAAGCCGAAAAGGTAAAAAATAAACAACTTATCTACATTAATTGTGTTGACAGACTATACTTCGTTTACAGGTATTATATATTGTCTTCTATCCAATACTAAAGGATTTAAATGTAGCTCTTATCATTGATTAAGTTGGACATCAGAAAATTGCCGGACATTCGTTTCATCCTGGCATGGGTCTATTCATAATATATACACGAAACCCTGTTAAGAACCGTACCAATAACCTTTGCACCTTGATTTATTTCTATCCCGAATTCAATCAAATCACGACTGTACAAACGGACTTTTAATTATGAATTCGCTTGTTCCTTTCTAATGATAACACTCAACAATATTTTCCTTTAGAATTTCAATGTTCGTTCAACTTTTATGTTATGATCTTCAATTCATAGAAACGATTTAATATAACTGATATTCACTTATTTTCAACACTATTTTTTATTACGCTTCGAGTTTGTGAACGTTAGTGATACTGCTAAAGTCTTAATTACTAATCATGCACTCAGAAATACTGTGCGAATTGTATTCTGTTTTGTTTCTGTATTGCAATACTTAATAAAATGTATGTTAGATAATTTTATTTAGTTAACTTTACTTATTCATAATAAGTACATGTCTTCAAACTGGTCAACCCATGTTGAACGGCTAATCTATTCATCTTGTACAAATCTTAAATATTGCTGTTTGTTATAATGTGTGTTACTAACTTTGTTGCTACCGGTCTACTTAATCATGAATTTAACATTTTATTAAGCTCTGGTGCTTTTATGATTTTCAACTGATTAATCAGTAATTTTAAGTTGAATATTGAATTATCATACTTTAATCTAATTTAATACTTCTTTTTTTAAAATATTTGTATAAGCAGTTTTCTTTTGTTCTTTTTCCTTTTAGTATCTACGTCTACAGGGCTCTTTCAGTCATATATGAATCGTTAAGCTGTTTCAAATTATTTCTTCGTCTTCTCTTTGAATTCTCGACATCATTGAAATACAAAACAACAGGAAGTACGAGTTTTCTGTTGTTAATGGATGATACATTGATTCCATATGTCAATTCAAATGTGTTTTTGTATACTTATATGCTCATAATTATGCACACATGTATGATAGCACGTTTGTGTACTTCAATTACTACAGAGCCTTGTGATTTACCATTATTAAACCAAACTTATTTTTGAAATATCTGATACTGCACAAAATGTTTATGTAAATTACTCAGAAAGGCTAAAAAGCTTCTTTCATCATTGTCTAGTTTTCAATAATATTTTGACTTCTGTACATGTTGATGATTTTCTCTGCATGTAATCGTTAGCTAACAAAAAGTTTATGATTGATTATTTGAGAAGTCTTTCGCTTCTGATTTTTGATTTATTTTTGTGAATATTTCTCTTGAAGTAGATCAGTTGAATATCGAAAAATTTTTGTATAAAAAAAATCAGATTTCTTAATGTGTCAGCGTTTATGTGTATTCATCTTTTCTTTTTCTCTTTAATTTTCTGTTAGTTAGTATATTTCCACCTTCGTAAGTTTTTCACTTATTATCTTGTCTCTAAAATCTAGTCTCAATGCACATGCATTTAATATACTCTGTCGATTGTACTGCTAAGCCATAAACTTTAAAATGTAATTACTTTTGCATGGCTATCACACCCTTTAGAACGTTGTAATGTGACAAATTAATAAGAAGAGGATATGAACTGTTCCGCGATATATATATATATATATATATATATATATATATATATATATATATATATATATATATTCAATCTCTTCTACTTGCATATCCCTAAATAAAACGAAACATCAAAATTCTGTGTAATTATTATTTTTTGTAACTTCATTTTTTTGTTCGTTTTAACTTTCAGACTATTTCTAACGGTTTATCATTATCTTCGTGTTTATTTCTGATTATTTAATTTTTTTGTGACTTATAAAAGCGCATCTTTTCTTTGATTTCTTTATTCAGCTTCACTCTTTTTGCTTGTTGCTAATCAGTCAGTTTTTATATATCTGGATGTTTATATCGCTTTTTCTAAGAATAATTTGATAAAATTGATTTTAGCTGAAAGACAGATTAGTGTTTTCTTTACAGAATTAAAAATTGTTGAGATACATTGTTGACATTTTACTGGTTTTAACTGCGATTAAGTTATCATATCATTGATGTGACATAACAAATATGGGTTGAGGATTCGTATCACTTTTCATTTGAAACAACTGGATTCTTATAGTCTTCGGTTTTAAATTTGACCTACTTAGTTCATTATCCTAAACTGTATGTTACACATTTTGTTTTCATCTCTAACAAGAGCAATGGAAAGTACTGTAAATGATTCCTTTGTTTATTATTTACTGTTGAACTACGATCTCGTGGTATGATTAATTTCAATATCTTTTGAACTGAGCTATCCAAGTGATATTTTTCTTGCCTAAAATAAGATTAGCTAGCAATAGTTGATGAAAGCAGGTGTTACATGATAACCGAAGATAGTTGTAGAGAACTGAAGTGAACTTGGCATGCTATGAGCCAAAGCTTGTAATATGAAGAATTCAAGTCAAACTTTTCATAACCGATTAATTGTGAATTTTGACTGTAACAACTTGCGTAATTGCCTAAGACATTGGGCGGTTAGGTAGGTACCCTAATCTCGAATATTCCAATGAAAGCTTGTATCAGTTGCTAAACTAACTTTCACACATCCTTGAGATATTTTGGCCGACATAGAACAGTTTCCTTTCATGTTTTGCTGGTCATATGAACTTACTGACAAATTAATATAATGTAAATGAAAGTCTTTTAGGAGGTAATCAACAGGTTATACTGCAAAGCTATAAGTAAATTTAGATGATATCAACACTTGGTCTGTTGTTTGTGTTCACTGATTGAAGTGAATGATTGATTTACAGTTAAATACTTCAAATGTGTTTATTTATAGTTATTAATAATCCTCGGTTGATTGGCAGTCGAACACCTTTCAAAATGCACTGAGTATTCAGAGTTTAACCCAATAAAGTAATTATCTATATTCGAATGAATATGAATCAGTGATGATGACTCAAATTTACAATTATTTAAAAAGAAAACTAAGTGACAGCGAATGATATCAAAAGTATGTATAAATAGGAATTTGTTCAATTTTTGAAACTTCGTCATGTAAACCACCGTAATGGTTTGGGACAATCCCTACATAAAAATTGTGGTATTGCATAAATATGTGCAACTTTTGTGTTGCACACAACCGATAACACGGACGATGAGCTCGGCATTTCCTCAAAATTCTGTTCAAAAAACAGCGAAGAACATTTCTGAACTGCCGAAACACCTTTTAAGCATGGTTAGTTTAGTTTTTGCCCCAATTTCGAAAAGAATGGATTTGATCTTACACTATTTGAAAGAACCAGTAGAAATATTTCTATATAGTCCTCGAATCTTTACAGATTGGTAGGAAGAACTTTCAGTAGTTTTGAAATATGAGAAGATGAAAAGCTTAGTTTGTTTTCTCTGGTATCACATTACCACGATATTTCTTGCGAAGTTAGCCTGTCATGTAGTAACTTTTCCAGAAGGTACATTTTTGAACCTGTTTCTCTACCGAACAAAATATTCCGTAATAAGCGAAAGATGAAAAAGTGAATTTTAAATATCTATGAACTGTTTCACTTTGCCCATTAAAAGTCCTACTTGAGAGGTGAGCTGCCCACTAAATCCATGATATTGAACATCAACAGTCCCTCATATCTTTTGTACACTATTCTACCATACGAGCACCTGGAAGTTGTCTTCATTTGACATGAAATCTAAAGTTTTAGAACTGTCAGCTCAATCAGCGAGAAGAGGGTAGAAATCTATGGTACAGAATCAGATAATATGTTACAGGAGCTTGTTTAAACTGTACGTATGACATACAACAATCTATCCATTGGGATAATTTTCCGGTTTAGGCTTAAATCCGGTGCTTGTTCTGCGAATAAGAAGGAAACCACTCAGATAAGTCCAGAAGAATAGCACATGGGGAAGTTACATAGTATGTGATCGATAAATGTGCTCGTTAGCAAGAGACTTTCACCAAGTGTACTGCCCCTATATACCTACTCGGACCATGTTACATGCCGAAAAAGATCGTCTCGCAGATTTTTGTTTTCTTATCTTTACACTTGAGGTTTATAATGCAACTGAGCAGGCATATGTTGTATTAGATCGAACTGTATAATCTGAAAAGCGTATTTTCAACATTCGTCACGCACTCCTGGACTCATGATAAGTGTGATGCTTGTAATTTACAGGGCAATTAAATAGGATAATTGAATCAGAAGCAGTAGAATCCTACTTACGGTGTTTATTACAGCCAATATCAAATAATTACAACTGGGTACTTATTTTGGAATGCCAGATCTTGCCAAGCATATAGGCTGTCAAGCGAACTACTCAAACGTTACTAGGTTACTTGGGTTCCATTGTGTGGACGGATCATTGTTTGATGCCCCTCATGACCTACCTCAAACTTTAATCCAGATATTTCTTCCTCTTTGATCATTTTTAAAATCTGGTTTATTTAATTTGAAATCGTTCGCTAGATGCGATTCTGACAGTAGTGTTGTTAAATCCTGCGCATGCTACGTCCCTTTGGCCTTAAGCAAATAGTTTATTTATATTTTACACTATGTTTACATCAGGTGAGCGACGTAGGAGATCAATAAACACTTATATAGGTTTGGATAACATAAAGTACATGGCTTTCAAGAATATACATGCAACCTTGCAGTATTCGACCGACGCCCCAACTTTATTTCGGAATGGTTTTATATTGTTGGAATAGACGTGAAACTTCTGAAAATGTTAAATAGAACTATTGCAAATACGTTTAACCTGACTGATTGGTACATCATACCGTTGAAAAAGACAAAGGTGTCCTTGTTATAAGTATTCCTAGTCGCTTTTTATGAATACGAGGCCAGTGAAGTTTAAAATGAACCAATTATGTCTGTTTGCGTGAAATAGTGATACTGCTTTTGTATTTTCAGATTATTTTCTTTCATTTGTATATTCTACCCTCATTATGATGGTACATACACCTAGGTTGTTTAAGACTCTTTCACCGCTCACCCTTCAACTCATTCCATACTGACCCACAATATCAAAGCGAAGTTCTGCTACATAGAATGTGACTACAGGTACGTCACATCAAGTGTGTTTACTAGCGACGTTTCTGAACCTTACGACACTGTAAAGAAGGTTGTCTTCAAACCCAAGGACCTAACAAACCGACAAATGTCAGATCAGCTTTTCAATAATTTTGAGTTTCGACATGGCTCGGCAACAGAAATGTTACTAAGTATGAGAGTTAATTGATCAACTGTCCCTTTATACGAGCCTGTTAAGAAATTCCTTCTTGTATAACCTTTCCCAACGAGTACAGGCAGTCGTTGTCTCATTTCAGAATAACGCTGTAGACTAACTTGCAGGTTAGTAGTCAGAAATACTTATTTATCTTTTTGTGTAACCTTTTCCGCTTGTAGTTGATCCTTGTCACACTAAAGCAAACGATCGATCCATGCTATCAGCAAGTACACCATAACTACTACAACCTGTACCAGACACGACCGAAATTATTACGTACAATCAACAGTGATATGCATCAAATCACGACTACAGGACCACCGGTAAAGTCGAAAGCGCGCTGACTAGCTCCCAAAAAGTGAGGTTGGCTAAAAACGAATTCCAACATATGACAGACTAAAGAACCATTCGGCCATCAAACAGCAAATGAGCATCTCCTTAGATCATGGTTCCTGAAACGGACAAAAACGATCGGTTTCCAACAGGTGACCATCGGCGATTGAATGCGAAAAACATACATGACCGTCACTTGTTTCCCTAACATTCACGATTTGACAGCTACCCTGAAAAACGCGACAACTTTCTTCGAAATTTTTTTGGTTAAAGCGTGTAACCAAATTTCCATGGCATCTGACCAAACCTTTAAGATCGTTATCATTGTACCTTTCAGCCTATGTGGACTTTTGTGCATGCTATTCGGTTTGAGAAATGCTACCTAGACTTTTCAGAAATTCATCGATGACGTTTATCGAATTCCTAACTTCGTACATGCGTATGCTGATGACTGATTGATATCTCGTCAGGGCAGATAATCACATCTTCAGCATCTGGACCTTGTTTTCGAACGACTGCAAAAACACGGCATTACTATAAGCATTAAAAAATGTCAGTTCGGAACCTACTTCCTAGATTTTACCAAACATTATTGACCATCGAAGTATTTGCCTTCTGCAAAACAAAGTGACGGCCATTCTGGATTAGCCAGATCCAACTGTAACCTTGAAATATCGCACCTTTAGTTGTCCAATGGGTTTTCACCGACGGTTCATATCGAAATAATTGTCTATTATGAAACCCTACACAAGTAGTCTCACTGACTCCTTTCGTTCAGTTAAACGCGTTTTCACTCAACCGCGATCAAGTGATTTTTTCGTTCAACCTACCACACGATAAAGTAGACACGCTTTGTACTTCAAAACTCATTTCGACGCCCTCACGTGATGGCATATGAAAGACCATTTAAAGTCATTCATCATAAACCTAATAACGGAACTAACGATAGCAGAAGCGTCGCCCCAACGGCCGGGTGGTTTGGCTAGGACTCAGTGATATTGAACTTGCCCTACAAGCAAATCCGAATGTCCTTGTGCAAAATTTTCTTTTTTCTATCACATTTTTTCTATACGCATGTATAACAGTCGTTTACCCTTCTTCGCACGTTCTGTGTCCTTACACACGTACGAATGTGTTTCGACATACACTTACAATTTTCCCTTTTTCTTTTCCCGGAAGGCAGCAAAAGATGTAAAAACCGTCAAAGCATGTGCTAAACAGAAATTTTACATCATACATTTTCTATTGTTACATTGTAGTTCATGATCTCTAATATAACATAGGGCGGCCGGATGCTGCTAAACACAGCGAGCTATCAGAATACTGCTTACCAAGGACAAGCTCGTTGGGTTTAAGTTTCTTGCCGACCACGTCTCAGAGTCATCACTAACTCACAACAAAGGAGGTCGAGTTAGGCGTAGGAGTAAATAAATCCTCAA